TCAATATTGAAGAATATTCTTCAATATTGAAGAATATTCTTCAATATTGAAGAATATTCTTCAATATTGATATTGAATATTCTTCAATATTGAAGAATATTCTTCAATATTGAAGAATATTCTTCAATATTGAAGAATATTCTTCAATATTGAAGAATATTGAAGAATATTCAATATTGAAGAATATTCTTCAATATTGAAGAATATTCTTCAATATTGAAGAATATTCTTCAATATTGAAGAATATTGAAGAATATTCAATATTGAAGAATTTCTTCATATTGAAGAATATTCTTCAATATTGAAGAATATTCTTCAAGATATTTCAATATTGAAGAATATTCTTCAATATTGAAGAATATTCTTCAATATTGAAGAATATTCTTCAATATTGAAGAATATTATTGAAGAATATTCTTCAATATTGAAGAATATTCTTCAATATTGAAGAATATTCTTCAATATTGAAGAATAAGAATATTCTTCAATATTGAAGAATATTCTTCAATATTGAAGAATATTCTTCAATATTGAAGAATATTCTTCAATATTGAAGAATATTCTTCAATATTGAAGAATATTCTTCAATATTGAAGAATATTCTTCAATATTGAAGAATATTCTTCAATATTGAAGAATATTCTTCAATATTGAAGAATATTCTTCAATATTGAATATTCTTCATATTGAAGAATATTCTTGAAGAATATTCTTCAATATTGAAGAATATTCTTCAATATTATTCAATATTGAAGAATATTCTTCAATATTGAAGAATATTCTTCAATATTGAAGAATATTCTTCAATATTGAAGAATATTCTTCATTGATATTGAATTGAAGAATATTCTTCAATATTGAAGAATATTCTTCAATATTGAAGAATATTCTTAATATTGAAGAATATTCTTCAATATTGAAGAATATTCTTCAATATTGAAGAATATTCTTCAATATTGAAGAATATTCTTCAATATTGAAGAATATTCTTCAATATTGAAGAATATTCTTCAATATTGAAGAATATTCTTCAATATTGAAGAATATTCTTCAATATTGAAGAATATTATTGAAGAATATTCTTCAATATTGAAGAATATTCTTCAATATTGAAGAATATTCTTCAATATTGAAGAATATTCTTCAATATTGAAGAATATTCTTCAATATTGAAGAATATTCTTCAATATTGAAGAATATTCTTCAATATTGAAGAATATTCTTCAATATTGAAGAATATTCTTCAATATTGAAGAAATATTGAAGAATATTCTTCAATATTGAAGAATATTCTTCAATATTGAAGAATATTCTTGAAGAATATTCTTCAATATTGAAGAATATTCTTCAATATTGAAGAATATTCTTCAATATTGAAGAATATTCTTCAATATTGAAGAAATATTGAAGAATATATCTTCAATATTGAAGAATATTCTTCAATATTGAAGAATATTCTTCAATATTGAAGAATATTCTTCAATATTGAAGAATATTCTTATTATTGAAGAATATTCTTCAATATTATTTCTTCAATATTGAAGAATATTCTTCAATATTGAAGAATAATATTGAAGAATATTCTTCAATATTGAAGAATATTCTTCAATATTGAAGAATATTCTTCAATATTGAATATTGAAGAATATTCTTCAATATTGAAGAATATTCTTCAATATTGAAGAATATTCTTCAATATTGAAGAATATTCTTCAATATTGAAGAATATTCTTCAATATTGAAGAATATTCTTCAATATTGAAGAATATTCTTCAATATTGAAGAATATTCTTCAATATTGAAGAATAATATTGAAGAATATTCTTCAATATTGAAGAATATTCTTCAATATTGAAGAATATTCTTCAATATTGAAGAATATTCTTCAATATTGAAGAATATTCTTCAATATTGAAGAATATTCTTCAATATTGAAGAATATTCTTCAATATTGAAGAATATTCTTCAATATTGAAGAATATTCTTCAATATTGAAGAATATTCTTCAATATTGAAGAATATTCTTCAATTGAAGAATATTCTTCAATATTGAAGAATATTCTTCAATATTGAAGAATATTCTTCAATATTGAAGAATATTCTTCAATATTGAAGAATATTCTTCAATATTGAAGAATATTCTTCAATATTGAAGAATATTCTTCAATATTGAAGAATATTCTTCAATATTGAAGAATATTCTTCAATATTGAAGAATATTCTTCAATATTGAAGAATATTCTATTCAATATTGAAGAATATTCTTCAATATTGAAGAATATTCTTCAATATTGAAGAATATTCTTCAATATTGATATTGAATATTCTTCAATATTGAAGAATATTCTTCAATATTGAAGAATATTCTTCAATATTGAAGAATATTCTTATTGAAGATTATTGAAGAATATTCTTCAATATTGAAGAATATTCTTCAATATTCTTCAATATTGAAGAATATTCTTCAATATTGAAGAATATTCTTCAATATTGAAGAATATTCTTCAATATTGAAGAATATTCTTCAATATTGAAGAATATTCTTCAATATTGAAGAATATTCTTCAATATTGAAGAATATTTGAAGAATATTCTTCAATATTGAAGAATATTCTTCAATATTGAAGAATATTCTTCAATATTGAAGAATATTCTTCAATATTGAAGAATATTCTTCAATATTGAAGAATATTCTTCAATATTGAAGAATATTCTTCAATATTGAAGAATATTCTTCAATATTGAAGAATATATTGAATAATATTCTTCAATATTGAAGAATATTCTTCAATATTGAAGAATATTCTTCAATATTGAAGAATATTCTTCAATATTGAAGAATATTCTTCAATATTGAAGAATATTCTTCAAGAAGATTCTTCAATATTGAAGAATATTCTTCAATATTGAAGAATATTCTTCAATATTGAAGAATATTCTTCAATATTGAAGAATATTCTTCAATATTGAAGAATATTCTTCAATATTGAAGAATATTCTTCAATATTGAAGAATATTCTTCAATATTGAAGAATATTCTTCAATATTGAAGAATATTCTTCAATATATGAAGAATATTCTTCAATATTGAAGAATATTCTTCAATATTGAAGAATATTCTTCAATATTGAAGAATATTCTTCAATATTGAAGAATAATATTCAATATTGAAGAATATTCTTCAATATTGAAGAATATTCTTCAATATTGAAGAATATTCTTCAATATTGAAGAATATTCTTCAATATTGAAGAATATTCTTCAATATTGAAGAATATTCTTCAATATTGAAGAATATTCTTCAATATTGAAGAATATTCTTCAATATTGAAGAATATTCTTCAATATTGAAGAATATTCTTCAATATTGAAGAATATTCTTCAATATTGAAGAATATTCTTCAATATTGAAGAATATTCTTCAATATTGAAGAATATTTCAATATTGAAGAATTCAATATTGAAGAATATTCTTCAATATTGAAGAATATTCTTCAATATTGAAGAATATTCTTCAATATTGAAGAATATTCTTCAATATTGAAGAATATTCTTCAATATTGAAGAATATTCTTCAATATTGAAATATTCTTCAATATTGAAGAATATTCTTCAATATTGAAGAATATTCTTCAATATTGAAGAATATTCTTCAATATTGAAGAATATTCTTCAATATTGAAGAATATTCTTCAGAATATTATTCAATATTGAAGATTATTCTTCAATATTGAAGAATATTCTTCAATATTGAAGAATATTCTTCAATATTGAAGAATATTCTTCAATATTGAAGAATATTCTTCAATATTCTTCAATATTGAATATTCATTTGAAGAAAGAATATTCTTCAATATTGAAGAATATTCTTCAATATTGAAGAATATTCAATATTGAATATTCTTTTCTTCAATATTGAAGATTATTCTTCAATATGAAGAATATTCTTCAATATTGAAGAATTATTCTTTGAAGAATATTCTTATTTGAAGAATATTCTTCAATATTGAAGAATATTCTTCAATATTGAAGAATATTCTTCAATATTGAAGAATATTCTCACAATATTGAAGAATATTCTTCAATATTGAAGAATATTCTTCAATATTGAAGAATATTCTTCAATATTGAATAATATTCTTCATTCTTATTGAAGAATATTCTTCAAGATTAATATTGAAGAAGATTCTTCAAATATTGAAGAATATTCTTCAATATTGAAGAATATTCTTCAATATTGAAGAATATTCTTCAATATTGAAGAATATTCTTCAATATTGAAGAATATTCTTCAATATTATTATTCTTCAATATTGAAGAATATTCATCTTTGCCCTCTCCGTCACATTCCGTGAGATACGAGATTTTCTCAGACAAACACTCTCCCAACACAGTAACTATTGTGCAACTGACCAAAACTGTTACAAACATCAAACGTATTATTCATATCTATTTCCTATTGTACTTCTCTATACACTTTTACTTTAACATTTGTTTCGACATTTCTCACTACAGAACGTTCAACGCTAACAATACTACAAACTTACTTTTCTGAGGTTCAAACAAAACGGCCTCACATTGCCCACTTGTTTTTTTTATATTGCTAATATTGGACTTATTTATTAACTTTTATTATATATTTATATTAAATAGTATAATGACCTATTCTTTTTAATTACTAAATTACCGATTTACAATGATTTTTAACTATTTATTGACTGGTCCTTAACAATCAAGTATTAACCAATATTTATAATGATTATTCTTTATAAACTATAATACAATTAATAACAATCTAGAAATACTATATGAAACTTGCATTATTTTATTTACAATCATTACAATTCTTCGGAGTATTTCTTAGCTATCTGCAGCCTTATCAATTTGGGGGTTCCGCCGGAGCACCCCCAAGGCCCAACGCGGCGCCTGCCCGCTGTAACTACGAATGTCTGTCGACATCATGGCCGCAGTAGTCTTGCCCTCGGGCTCCATCCCTTTTCCTTGTTCATCAATGGTGTACCTCGTGCGCCTTCCGTAGTCGGTTCTGGAAGTATTAAGGCAGTAAGGGTGGCCACAAACGGCCATGCACTATGAACGAGACAGCCAACGAACCTAACCCTTAAGGGTACTGCTGAAATTATTTTCTAACAGGAGGGGGACATTTCCACAAGCCTCATTAATGGATAAAGCCAGGGTGATACCCTGTGCGAAATTCTGAAAAGGAACACTGGAACAGGGGAAAGCAGTGACTACACGGGAAAGGAAGAGAAACAAAAGTCTTCCAGGAAACTACTCGGTAGCGAAGTAACGTAACTAACAACCCAAGCAGAACTTTACCGGGAAAAACAACCACCACTAACAAACAATTATTTGGGGGGGGGGGGGGGATACAGTTACCGTATCTGGGTCAAGGGCACAAGTTAATCCAGGGGGAGGGATCTAGCAACCAATATTTCATTTCTAAATCTTCTAATATATTATTATCAAAAAACCAAACAATCAATATTTACATGACGAGTATATCATGTATATAATATCCTAATTTATCAATAAAACCATACATCTAATATAAAAAACGGCTCCTAAGGCGCAACTGCAACATCCTTCCGTCCACAGTGACACGAACACAATTTATAAGTTTGGTAACACTCCCCCTTACAGTCATCTCCATTGTATGTTGCCCTCCCAAACCATTTTACACCTCAATAGTTAGCCTAAAATACTCCATTAAGACGCGTAATTGTCTTTACTCTCAGTCTCCATCAGCAGTCTGCGACCACCAGTACCCCAAGAACTTAAATATCTGGGGATCTGAAGCAAACTTAAATGCACACAACGAAGGCTACGGATCCGTCAATGTCGATTATTTCTTCTCATTAATATAGTAAACTAACATAAATAACGACGAACATAGTAAACAAACTACCACACTCATAATATTTTCATACCGACATGATGCGAATAATACAATGAATGACTAATATACATTATTCTAGCAACTATTCAATATACACACATTTACATATACACACACATTCACAAACAATAACTAGTAACTTACAAATATAACTCAGTTTGCACTAACATGTAAAACACAGACAACCACTAGAGGGATAAGGAAAAGCACAAAATACTCCTTCCAAACTACTACGTCCCAGGACAAGTAGCCGGCTAACAGGCCGGCCACCGCCAGCTAAGGCCTCCACAGGGGTCCCGGCTAAGGCCGTAACGAACTGGCCCAGCTAATGGGCATAGTACGGGACACACCGAGGGCATGGCGGAAAATGCCACATAAAACGATAACAAGTCAAGCAAAGGCACCCGATAACTAACGCGACTAAAACCCGGACCTAATAATAAAGGACTTAAGTAATACTATCATACAGTAGGAACTCTATAAATACATCAATAACTATTTCTCCCACACTGGGGAGGAGGAAGTAAGCACGGAAACCCCTAACCTTAAACAAACAAACAATAACGTACCATCCAAAAAACGAACACTAGTGGTCAACAAGGGCAAAATAAGCCCTTAAACACTTGACAAATGTCAACTGTAGAATCCGGCATCTGAACATCAGCTGCAACACCTCCAGCTGGACCATCTTCCACCTCAACAGCACCAACCTGGGACAGCAACAGCTGTACCCACAGCAGCTACAACACCGACTGGCCGGAATCTCACCAGCCGCAACACCAACAGCAGCTGCACAACAAAATGGAGCAACAACGTACGAACAGTGGCGGCTCGGACACTAGGGCAGACGGCTGCACCAGATGCAACACACCAAACTGACCATCGCCAGCTACAACAGTCACACGTCCCACGAAAAACATCGCCCGGACATCAACCCCTCAACGAAGGCAGCCAACACGTCGGTGCATGTGAAAACCTTCCGGCCTACACCGACCAGACAACACGTCGGATAACCAGCGGCCCGGGAGCCTGCAGATTATTTCCCCTTACACCCGGTACACAAACAGACTGGAAACGTTTACTGGTACTCAAAAACCAAACTAAGTACCGACAGCTATACATTACCAATGACAAAGTAAACAAAACAAGTATAAAGGTCAAACGATAAGTAAAATGACATGCACTTAAGCAATGCATAAATAGCAATAAATTCCTGAACGAACTAATCAGAATACGAGTCCAAGATAAACTTAAAGAGAGGCATGAGGCCCCAAGACAGCGTCTAGTACATCCTAGCTGACTTTCTTTAAATTATGCTTCAACTTTAAGTTAAAGTCAACATAATTGTAAACCAGTCAACATAATTGTAAACCAGTTAAGTAAAAACATCAAGCAACAGCAATGTCAAATGAAGGAATTTGCCACAGGAAACTATACGTAAATGCACGCCCAGAATAAACTTCAAGCAAGAGGCAAGGGCCCGATCCCTGCAACTATCACATCCTACCTGACTAAGTTATTATGTAAATCCAAACCACAAGTTCAACAAACGAATGTCAAAACACATAAAAACATGCAGCTTGACACTGCATAACAATCATTAATAAATTAAGGTCACTTATGGAAATTACAACTCCATGAAAACTTAAAGCTAGGGGCCGGAGGCCTGTGTCACAGCACCTACCTGACTTAAGTTATTAGGTCAAGCGATAAGCAAAATAATCAACATGTGTGTCAACCAGTAATAAATACATACATGCAGCAAGACGCTGCATAATTTGCGGGAATAATTAGCTTTTGTAACTAAACGTAAATGAAGGCCCACTAATCTTAAAGCACGAGGCAAGGGGGGGGGGGGGGGGCCCTACTCCGCGCCTATCACAACCTACCTCAGTTACTTGATAACTTAATGCCAAACAACAGTTAAACAATCACAATTGCAAAACCAGTAAGAGTAAATAACGTGCAGCTTGACCCGCATAAATTATATTCATAAATTTAGGTACATTCAAATTATATTGGTATTGCGTAACATTAAAGTCAAAAGCATCACGCTTGTACCTCACGAAATAGTTAAACCTAGGTTACGTTACTTAATACAAGACTTAATGATTTATTTATTCACTTAATAAAACATGCACGAGGCCAATGCATAAATTTTATTTAATTGCAGAGAAAATTCGTAGTTCAAACCCCAAGGAAGGTAACAGCAACAGACTTGGACCCGTGATGCTGGTCAAAGATAAATCAATTGTCACCCATAACAAATTGTAACTGAAAGACAATATTAGTTTTTTATATAGCCAGCATTTACAGTAGGGTAAGTCATTTACAGTCAATGATCTAACACTACATTCACGTCTGCTTTACATTTATATCTATAACCAATTTCACTTCATTTCGGTAACGTTTCACATATTAAAAACTTATTACCTTGGCATTCTAGGGAATACAATAACATTTATATATACAAGGTACATTGCCTTTTTTTATAATACATAGCATGGTATTTACACTTGTAAGGCCATTAGTACGCGCAGCGTTTCGGCAAAGTCCTTATTGTAAGATAATTTTTACTACCTCAATTCTAGCGGATTTAATAACGTGATTCATACATTGCAACAAACTATACGTCAGATTAGTACGTACACGTATATTCAACCACATTGGTATATTAAACCTCCGAATGCATTGACAGCTTCATTGCTAATTTAAACTAAGATTAATAGGCACCATACAGCTAATTGAAACCACATAACACACCAATGATCACAATGGTAAAGTTGTTTTTTGCATTGGGTACATGATTACGAGATTGGGGACCACTAGATACAATCAATTTTTAAACCAACTATGTACAACAATATGAATATGCAATTAGGTACTTTTTAGTTTAAATATTAGGTAATTGTAAACCTATTCTTCCTAATTACGTACTTTATATTAATGGATTACAGTCAGAAGATTATTAGCAATTTAGGTACCTCTATTTTAATTATTTACTTATGATTCCCTACAACTATCTATCCCTTTACGATTCAACAATTCCCCAACAATATTTATCTACATCAACTATATATTTCCCATTCATTGACAACACATTTAATGCCCTCTGTAAGGACAACCCCTTCTACGCGACTCCATCCTATTTCTCTATTATATATATTCAACTTTCAATATCAATCCACATTAATAACTATTCAAAACCCGCTGGATATCTAATTAGATGCTAGACGATTCTCCACTATCAACATTTACGACCTATTTTAATTCTTTCGTACCTTGTATCCAAGACAGAAACTGGATCCTTCAACAGCTGGAGGTTGTGTCCCTAGAGTAACTACACACGATGGTACCAACGTCATCCACCTCGAGGGTCCTCAACCGTGTCACCTGCGAAACTATATTCTATTCAGGATTCTGAACATTCATATACGATAAACATTCCTTATCACCATTACTATCTCAAATACACGCCAATGCACTGTTCAAACAACAAGACACCTTAGGAGGGAGGGGAGGGGGTGCCTCAGGGGCCAATTTTGAAATGGGACATGCATCGAGTTATGAATCCAAGCGCCAGTCCACCTTCCAGACACTCTGGGGGGGGGGGGGGGGGGGGTTTATCAACTAAGCTTAATCTCTTCTCTGGGAGCTGCGAGTGTGTGACCTGTTCTTCATGTCTATTTCACCATCTATGGATGAATACCGCGTAGCATTCAGATACACACACACAACAAAGCTTCCACACGTTATGTTCACTTACAGCCATTTAGTTTTATTACATAATAAAAGTGCTCCGTCTAGTAAGGCTGGGTCTCATGACGTCTAATGCTCAAAGTACACCACATGATTCATTCAGGAATGATAATATATTTAGTACTACTTGGGATTTCAGTTTTATGCACTACGTAACTAAATTCTTGGAGGAAGATGTGTTGATATAACATATCACTCACCTGCAGGTCACAGCCTCTTCCATTACTCTCCAGTGTGGCGTTGGTTGGTCTCCACCAATGCTGCTTTCACCACAAATACATACTTCACCATTGCTGTTTCGCCCGGCCCGCACCTCTCCACACGCTGATCTGCATGAAATATAATGCATAATATCCATCCATTTAACCTTAATAACAATTGTTATTAAGGGCTACAAACATCGATTTATGAACACTCTAGTCCTAACTCCTTACACAATTATTTCTTCCATCCAAAATCTTTTCCTATCATATTCTATATTTCTAACTAACAATTTGTAGATTACTTTCTGATGTCTTCCATCATCTAAACGCTGTTACACGTTGCTAAACTATAATACATAGCAAAACATGTCTCGCAGCTCTGACGAGAGCTAATTTTTTTTTCAATACCATCAAAGCGCAGCCATGACAATACTCAAAAACACTCAACCCCTCACTCAAAACACCATGTCGGGTATACCTACAATCCGAAGCTAAACACGAAATTGAAATTTATTCGGGTTTCCTGATCGCGCATAATCATCCTCCCTTATCACAATCTCTTAGTTCTGGCTAGACAACATTAACTGCCAATTAATTACCTACCAGTAGTAATTAGGGTACCTATATCACAAAATTGCATTATTATGTTACACGGAAAGGAGACTATGTTCCTAGTACACAATTCTCAATTAACACTACAAAATCAAGCCCACACCATATACTTCCTGCTACACAATGATAACCAACAACTCGTGGACCAATAGCTGAAGCTCAACCTTAACTTACAAAAGTGACTTACTCTTGACATGTTTTTTTTCACTTTTGCCTCAAACTACACTGTTAGAGCGCACGCTATCCCGCTCACTACACAATTACACCAATATCAACAACCACCACCACCTACACACTCCCACGTGTACCGTCGCCAGACACCTACAGTAAACATCACAAATACTGTCACGAGGCTCACATCTCCAGTTGAAATTAATCAACCATTGGTCGCAAGTCAACCATAACCTTATCACCTACACGTATAAATGATAAAGCTCAATATTTTTTATGACATCTTTGTCCTACGAAGGAGGTCGCGCTTATTTCATGCTGTATATTCAACATTATAAACAAATTCACTTAATAATGGCAGTAATATTTGAATAATGTTTTTTTATCAACTATGTACCGAAAACGACTCCGGTCAATTTATGTCTACGTCCTTCGACGAGGACAGGAAGGCTACGTATTGTCAACAGTTCCCCCCCCCCCCCCTCATACGTCAAATTATGTACCCACGTAACCCGAACACTTTAAAGTGTGGGGGGGGGGGGGGGGGGGGGGGGACAACAGCACTTTAAAATTTGATAACTACACTCGACCCCGACCGAGAGCGCCCAAAGCCTATCCACAGACTTATTCACTACTCTCAATCAGCAAAGTTACCGGAAGCAACACCACCATCCTCCTTCCACACTAGATTTTTATACTATTTTAACATTAATTACCGTAAAAAGTTGTTAAGTGGTGTAACTCATACCTTTTCATATTTAAAACAACTGATGGGGGTCCTAATATGGCTGTAGTAATAACTGCTCAAACTTCCATTGCCCAAATTAGGCTCTAAATTACGCTATTCCTAATACAATATTACTATGCCTCTAACTATTTCCAGTGTGCCGGATAGGCCCATCATACCTTGGTAACTCAAGTACCACTACTGGAACATCTGCCACCACCTTCTGCTCGCCAGGGTATGACTCCAATCATCCCTCCTTCAAGACTACTGTGGAAAAAAATACCAATGTTACAAATCAATACAGTACGTAAACATTATTAAATATCTTTTAGTACTGATTATGGGTCAGGACTAACACATATCGCACTATATATACACCCCAACACGGGGTATATACGACAGCTAACAATAATAGAGATTTTTGCCCCTATGTGCGTTTTGACGGTGTACAGAGTGACAGTGTAACCTAGGGGTCTGTCACCAAAGCGAACCCCAAAGGGTAACGGGCTACCAGCTAAGAGTAACATCACGCCCTAACACTAACTTGTACACCTCTACTCGGCTAATTCTAGGGGCAAAATAACGTTCCGTTGCGCCTGAATGAGCAGGTGGACTCAATAGCCAATCACGTTTCTCATTTTCAGTTGACGTCACATTGTCGCAACCTGTACGGTCATTCGTCGCCTCGACGTAATTGGATACCCGAGTAGTTAATGAGATTTATTTTTGGAAAATGAAATATATACAATAAAATGTATACACAAACTATAAGAAACATACATGTACCAAATGAATGAGATTTTATTCAGTTTTATATAATTTACCTATTTTAAATTATCTGTTAGATTACGCACCTGCCAGAAACGCTGCGCGTACTAGCGGCTTTACAAGAGTGTAATTACTGTATTATGCTATGTATTCCCACAAACACAATGTACCTAGGTTAGGTTAGGTTAGGTTAGTTTAGGTTAGGTTAGGTTAGGTTGGTTAGGTTAGGTTAGGTTAGGTTAGGTCAGGTCAGGTCAGGTCAGGTCAGGTCAGGTCAGGTCAGGTCAGGTTAGGTTAGGTTGGCCGCTAGCGGCAAAAATAGCCCTATTTTTGGCCGCTAGCGGCGAAAATTGCGAGGTTTTTGGCCGCTAGCGGCGAAAATCGCGCGGTTTTTGGCCGCTAGCGGCGAAAATCGCCTTTTTTTGGCCGCTAACGGCAAAAATAGCCCGCTTTTTGGCCGCTAGCGGCGAAAATTGCGCGGTTTTTGGCCGGTAGCGGCGAAAACCGCGCGATTTTGGCCGCTAGCGGCCAAAAATCGGGCTATTTTTTCCGCCAGCTGCGAAAATCCCGCGGTTTTTGGCCGCTAGCGGCGAAAATCGCCGATTTTTGGCCGCTAGCGGCAAAAATAGCCCGCTTTTTGGCCGCTAGCGGCGAAAATTGCGCGGTTTTTGGCCGGTAGCAGCGAAAATCGCGCGATTTTTGGCCGGTAGCGGCGAAAATCGCGCGGTTTTGGCCGGTAGCGGAAGAATTCGCACGATTTTTGGCCGCTAGCGGCGAAATTCGCACGATTTTTGGCCGCTAGCAGCGAAAATTACGCGGTTTTTGACCGCTAGCGGCGAAAATCGCGTGGTTTTTGGCCGCTAGCGGCGAAAATCGGCGATTTTTGGCCGCTAGCGGCGAAAATTGCGCGGTTTTTGGCCGGTAGCGGCGAAAATCGCGCGATTTTTGGCCGGTAGAGGCGAAAATCGCGCGATTTTTGCCGGTAGCGGCGAAATTCGCACGATTTTTGGCCGCTAGCGGCGAAAATCGCCAAATTTATGGCCGCTAGCGGCAAAAATAGCCCGATTTTTGGCCGCTAGCAGCGAAAATTGCGCGGTTTTTGGCCGCTAGCGGCGAAAATCGCGCGATTTTTGCCCGCCAGCTGCGAAAATCGCACGGTTTTTGGCCGGTAGCGGCGAAAATCCTGTGATTTTGGCCGCTAGCGGCCAAAAATCGGGCTATTTTTGCCGCTAGCGACGAAAATTGCGCGGTTTTAGGCCGGTAGCGGCAAAATTCGCACGATTTTTGGCCGCTAGCGGCGAAATTCCACGATTTTTTGCCGCTAGTGGCGAAAATAGCCCGCTTTTTGGCCGCTAGCGGCGAAAATTGCGCGGTTTTGGCCGGTAGCAGCGAAAATCGCGCGATTTTTGGCCGGTAGCGGCGAAAATCCCGCGATTTTGGCTGCTAGCGGCCAAAAATCGGGCTATTTTTGCCGCTAGCGGCGAAAATTGCGCGGTTTTTGGCCGGTAGCGGCGAAATTCGCACGATTTTTGGCCGCCTGCGGCGAAATTCGCACGATTTTTGCCCGCTAGCGGCGAAAATCGCCGAATTTTTGGCCGCTAGCGGCAAAAATAGCCCTATTTTTGGCCGCTAGCGGCGAAAATTGCGAGGTTTTTGGCCGCTAGCGGCGAAAATCGCGCGGTTTTTGGCCGCTAGCGGCGAAAATCGCCTTTTTTTGGCCGCTAACGGCAAAAATAGCCCGCTTTTTGGCCGCTAGCGGCGAAAATTGCGCGGTTTTTGGCCGGTAGCGGCGAAAACCGCGCGATTTTGGCCGCTAGCGGCCAAAAATCGGGCTATTTTTTCCGCCAGCTGAGAAAATCCCGCGGTTTTTGGCCGCTAGCGGCGAAAATCGCCGATTTTTGGCCGCTAGCGGCAAAAATAGCCCGCTTTTTGGCCGCTAGCGGAGAAAATTGCGCGGTTTTTGGCCGGTAGCAGCGAAAATCGCGCGATTTTTGGCCGGTAGCGGCGAAAATCGCGCGGTTTTGGCCGGTAGCGGAAGAATTCGCACGATTTTTGGCCGCTAGCGGCGAAATTCGCACGATTTTTGGCCGCTAGCAGCGAAAATTGCGCGGTTTTTGACCGCTAGCGGCGAAAATCGCGTGGTTTTTGGCCGGTAGCGGCAAAAATCGCGCGATTTTTGGCCGGTAGCGGCGAAAATCGCGCGATTTTTGCCGGTAGCGGCGAAATTCGCACGATTTTTGGCCGCTAGCGGCGAAAATCGCCAAATTTATGGCCGCTAGCGGCAAAAATAGCCCGATTTTTGGCCCCTAGAAGCGAAAATTGCGCGGTTTTTGGCCGCTAGCGGCGAAAATCGCGCGATTTTTGCCCGCCAGCTGCGAAAATCGCACGGTTTTTGGCCGGTAGCGGCGAAAATCCTGTGATTTTGGCCGCTAGCGGCCAAAAATCGGGCTATTTTTGCCGCTAGCGACGAAAATTGCGCGGTTTTAGGCCGGTAGCGGCAAAATTCGCACGATTTTTGGCCGCTAGCGGCGAAATTCCACGATTTTTTGCCGCTAGTGGCGAAAATAGCCCGCTTTTTGGCCGCTAGCGACGAAAATTGCGCGGTTTTGGCCGGTAGCAGCGAAAATTGCGCGATTTTTGGCCGGTAGCGGCGAAAATCCCGCGATTTTGGCTGCTAGCGGCCAAAAATCGGGCTATTTTTGCCGCTAGCGACGAAAATTGCGCGGTTTTTGGCCGGTAGCAGCGAAAATCGCGCGATTTTTGGCCGGTAGCGGCGAAAATCGCGCGGTTTTGGCCGGTAGCGGAAGAATTCGCACGATTTTTGGCCGCTAGCGGCGAAATTCGCACGATTTTTGGCCGCTAGCAGCGAAAATTACGCGGTTTTTGACCGCTAGCGGCGAAAATCGCGTGGTTTTTGGCCGCTAGCGGCGAAAATCGGCGATTTTTGGCCGCTAGCGGCGAAAATTGCGCGATTTTGGCTGCTAGCGGCCAAAAATCGGGCTATTTTTGCCGCTAGCGGCGAAAATTGCGCGGTTTTTGGCCGGTAGCGGCGAAATTCGCACGATTTTTGGCCGCCTGCGGCGAAATTCGCACGATTTTTGCCCGCTAGCGGCGAAAATCGCCGAATTTTTGGCCGCTAGCGGCAAAAATAGCCCTATTTTTGGCCGCTAGTGGCGAAAATTGCGAGGTTTTTGGCCGCTAGCGGCGAAAATCGCGCGGTTTTTGGCCGCTAGCGGCGAAAATCGCCTTTTTTTGGCCGCTAACGGCAAAAATAGCCCGCTTTTTGGCCGCTAGCGGCGAAAATTGCGCGGTTTTTGGCCGGTAGCGGCGAAAACCGCGCGATTTTGGCCGCTAGCGGCCAAAAATCGGGCTATTTTTTCCGCCAGCTGCGAAAATCCCGCGGTTTTTGGCCGCTAGCAGCGAAAATCGCGCGATTTTTGGCCGGTAGCGCCGAAAATCGCGCGGTTTTGGCCGGCAGCGGAAGAATTCGCACGATTTTTGGCCGCTAGCGGCGAAATTCGCACGATTTTTGGCCGCTAGCAGCGAAAATTGCGCGGTTTTTGACCGCTAGCGGCGAAAATCGCGTGGTTTTTGGCCGCTAGCGGCGAAAATCGGCGATTTTTGGCCGCTAGTGGCGAAAATTGCGCGGTTTTTGGCCGGTAGCGGCGAAAATCGCGCGATTTTTGGCCGGTAGCGGCGAAAATCGCGCGATTTTTGCCGGTAGCGGCGAAATTCGCACGATTTTTGGCCGCTAGCGGCGAAAATCGCCAAATTTATGGCCGCTAGCGGCAAAAATAGCCCGATTTTTGGCCGCTAGCAGCGAAAATTGCGCAGTTTTTGGCCGCTAGCGGCGAAAATCGCGCGATTTTTGCCCGCCAGCTGCGAAAATCGCACGGTTTTTGGCCGGTAGCGGCGAAAATCCTGTGATTTTGGCCGCTAGCGGCCAAAAATCGGGCTATTTTTGCCGCTAGCGACGAAAATTGCGCGGTTTTAGGCCGGTAGCGGCAAAATTCGCACGATTTTTGGCCGCTAGCGGCGAAATTCCACGATTTTTTGCCGCTAGTGGCGAAAATAGCCCGCTTTTTGGCCGCTAGCGGCGAAAATTGCGCGGTTTTGGCCGGTAGCAGCGAAAATCGCGCGATTTTTGGCCGGTAGCGGCGAAAATCCCGCGATTTTGGCTGCTAGCGGCCAAAAATCGGGCTATTTTTGCCGCTAGCGGCGAAAATTGCGCGGTTTTTGGCCGGTAGCGGCGAAATTCGCACGATTTTTGGCCGCCTGCGGCGAAATTCGCACGATTTTTGCCCGCTAGCGGCGAAAATCGCCGAATTTTTGGCCGCTAGCGGCAAAAATAGCCCTATTTTTGGCCGGTAGCGGCGAAAATTGCGAGGTTTTTGGCCGCTAGCGGCGAAAATCGCGCGGTTTTTGGCCGCTAGCGGCGAAAATCGCCTTTTTTTGGCCGCTAACGGCAAAAATAGCCCGCTTTTTGGCCGCTAGCGGCGAAAATCGGGCTATTTTTTCCGCCAGCTGCGAAAATCCCGCGGTTTTTGGCCGCTAGCGGCGAAAATCGCCGATTTTTGGCCGATAGCGGCAAAAATAGCCCGCTTTTTGGCCGCTAGCGGCGAAAATTGCGCGGTTTTTGGCCGGTAGCAGCGAAAATCGCGCGATTTTTGGCCGGTAGCGGCGAAAATCGCGCGGTTTTGGCCGGTAGCGGAAGAATTCGCACGATTTTTGGCCGCTAGCGGCGAAATTCGCACGATTTTTGGCCGCTAGCAGCGAAAATTGCGCGGTTTTTGACCGCTAGCGGCGAAAATCGCGTGGTTTTTGGCCGCTAGCGGCGAAAATCGGCGATTT